CATACGTATACTTATATATATACTTTTTCATAAATTTTTAATTAATGCTATATATGTATACACATAATATTATTAAGTTTCTACGTATATGTATGTATATTTGTTTTAAAACAGGAAAAATAAATGAAAAACGGAGTGGAAAATCTTTTTAAAAGAAAAGATCTTCGTTGCACACAAAGATAAAAATTAAGAAAATTAAAACATGGAAAAAGGAAAGAGAGAAGAAGGGAATGAAAATTTTTTTTTTCTCTGTCTACTAACAAACACAATAATTTTATTGCGTGTATATATGTAATATATATATTTTTTTTTCCTTTCCTTTTCAATTTTATTTATAAAAAAGTTGTATGAAAAATTTTCGTTTTTCTCTTTTCTTAGATTAGAATATTTTATAGTGGTACAGAATATATTCTCATAATATATATGTACGTATATAAGTGTAAGTACATACAAGTATGTATATGAATAGGGGATGTAAGTAAATAATGTGTACGTAATGTACGTGGATAAACACAGTATGTATATTTCCATATTTAACGGTATATGGTAATACAATGAAATAAAATATAAACATTATATGAAAATTAGAGAATTGAAATTTTGTATAAAAAAAAAACAATTTATGTACAAAAATATATATAAATATAATTTTACCTTTTTATAGATTATTTAATATTCATAATGTTACAAAAAAAATATAACTAAAAAAAACAACAGCAACAAATAAAAATATTGCACATTTGAGATGAAAAGGACTATTTTCCTCTTTTTTTGTGTCATTCCAAGCTAAAATGAAGACAAAAATATTATAAAATTAGAGAACATTAGAGCACAGTGGAACAGAAGAGTAATAAAAACTTCTAAAGTTATTTCTTTCTTTCCATCATTTTCAGTTATTTTTATTTGTTTGGAATTAAATTGCAGTTAAAAAAGAATTTTTTCAGTTCTTTTTTGTTGTGTTTTTGAAAAAGTTTTGACATATAAAATTTAAATATAGAATGAAAATTAGGTAAAACGGGGAACTATTTTTCATTTTATATTCGTAAGTGTATATTATTTTCTATATAATTTTATCAATATAAACTTTTTGCAGATATTAGAGTTGAAACAAAAAGAAATTTTTTTTTCATGAGGAAAAAAAACCGTTTGGGGTTAAATTATAATTTAATAAATATATGTATTATGTTCATAATATATAGAAAGTAATTGAATATTAAAGATGAAAATATAAGACAAAATGTATGTCTATTTATATATATATGTGTAGGTACATGTTACATATGGTTAATGTGAAAGTCATAATTTTTATACATTTTGTAATTATAGCTAAAAAAATATTTCAAATAATAAAATATTTTACTCGTATATACAAACACTGGTCTTCAAAAAAACTCGGTCACGGATTAAGAACAATTTGTAATCATCGTTCTCAAAACAATGTTGTATTACTTTAAATGTTTCAATTATGCACAATTTTTTTTACATTTAAGAAAAAAGCTTTCGATCAAAATCGTACAATTCCTTGATTGCAATCCTGGATTTTTGTACTCCTCTAATTAGGACTTAATTACAAAGTATTGTAACTTTGATTATTCTTTCAGCTAAGCCTAATTGTATATTACAATAGCTTACAGATTTACACTATTTTGTCAAACAAAATACAAATTTTCTTTTTAAATACAAAAGTAATTTTTATTATAATCAAATACTGCAGACAAAAAAAAATCAATAAATTTAATTGACAAACAAAAATTAGTTTTAAGATTTATTAAATTAATTTAATTTTTATGATTCATTTCTGATTTGTGATTTATAAAAGTGAAAATAAAAATTAGAAAAAAAAATTTAAATTTAAATTTTTAAAGTTATCAACTTTATTTTTCGTTCTTATTTAAAAAAAATAAAATAATACGAATACGTTACGTAATGCGGTATTTCAGTTTATACCGAATTACTATGTTTATTTACTTAAATAAAATTTACATAGAAATTTTATGTGAGTCCTAAATTCATAGCAACACAATGCATAATAATATGTTGATGCACATTTTCAAATTATAAATTTGATATGTCTGATTTTACTTTAATTTACTCGAAAAAATTTTCAAATACTAATCGAAATTTTTCGAAAAAATAATTTATTTTTCATAAGTAATTTATTATTCATTGTTTTTTTTTCTCAAACTATTTACCATTATATTGGTACTATTGGAATATATGGCTCAAAAAAACTGAAGTATCCCAATATCAATTGTTTTCCGCTAATATTCAGAAAAGGAACTTCAATTTGCAACTTAATAACAATTATATCATTTAATAATTAAAATGTATGATTTATCTTTGTTTACTTTAATAATCTGTTAATAAATTTTATGGACAAAACTGAATTTGATATAAAAAAGTTTTTGCCAAAAAATATCAATTTATATAGCAATGTAATCTGCAATTGAATTCCTAACCACTAATTGAATTAAACACCATTAAGAAAAAATAAAGGAAATAAATTCCTGGCGACGACTTATATATTTTGTATATTTAAATTATCAATCATTTATTCACAGAATATGCGGCTATACGCCTGTATTAATTATATCGTAATTGTGAAAAACTATTTAAAAAAGTTTAATACGTACTTATAACAAAATGCAAAATGTATTTAAATAAAGAGCTTATTGCAAATTAAATAGAACGCGATCCTGACATGGGAGAAGGCGTTGTTCTTATCAAAATAAGTTATAATTGTGAATGTTTTTACTTTAAATATTGCGATTTTAATGATTCCTTTTGTGGTTTGACACTTAAATACATACATATGTATAATAATATTATTTTTATTTAATATTCAATATTCATCTATACTTAATGTTCATTATAATTCTTCACAAAACGTGATTAAAATGTTTAAAATTGCAAACAAATCGAATAAGAAATCAAAGGTTCACTGATTTTAATTCTTTAGAAGTAGAAAATAAAATATAAACTATGTATGTGTTATTATACAATTAACTTAAATAACATTAATATGGGTCAAGCTGTTGGATTTTTTGAATAAGATGTAATTTGTATACAGTGGCGAGGAAAACACGTATTACATACGGAATATGAATAATATATATAAAACATTAAAATTTGATTGACAAGGAATTAAACACAATTTAATTCAAAACTGAAACATTAGGTATTTTAAATCTATTCAATTTTATTAAAATTACTTTAAGTAATCAAATAGTTAAGTTCAAATTAAAATTTTACATGTTTGTCACATTGGCAAGTAATTGTTTCCTAGTCTAAGTAGAAAACATTTTAGTTTTGTTAAAGTAAATCCTAGCTCAAAATAGGTATGCTACGAAAAATAAATTACGAATTAATTTCTTATAAATGAATTTGCAATTATTGGTCGTTTAAAATACAAAATTAATTAAGCCGCTAGCTTTTTTTTAACAAATATATCTTTGTGTATATATAAGCAACATGTTAAAATGAATAATTGTTAACTACAGATTTTCATTTGCACTTATTAAAAACTATCCATAACTACATTTGTTTAACGCAATAATAATTATGAACTTTCTGATTTTAATATAAATTGTACTGTATTATACACAGATATCTTGTAATTCGCAAATGTTACTAGGTTTAAACTACTATCGTACGCAATAAATTGTAAAATCTTAGCTTAATTCCTAGTAAATATTATAAAATAAATATGATTTAAAGTAAATATTATAAAAATATTAAACGTTTACTTGTTTATAAAAACGCTCTGCAATTTAAAATTATCAACCAATTTGCAATATAGGACCAAATAGATACTAATAAGGATATTTCGAGACAAAATCGTAGTAATAATAACGTAATGAATAGGAGAAATTACAAGAAACAAATGCAACAATGGAAGAATAATAAAGAAAATTAAGAAGCTAAACATAATCTACGATAAATAGAATTTTTCTGTTCGTATAATTTTCTAACATACATTTACATATATGTATATATGTATATATATGTATATATGTATATATATATACATTTATATATGTATATATTTATATATGTATATATTTACACATATATATATATATATATGTATGGATTTTAAAAGGTACAAACGTGGCCAAAAGTAAAAGCCTTAAGTTCTTTAAAATTTAATATTTATATTTTAAAAATTGTTTACCAAAGTTTCAATTTAAAATAATAGTAATTCTAAGTTATTCTGCAATACTATTTTTCACTAAATAAATATAATATATATTCATTCATTTCAGGTATATTTATAAAATTGAGATTTTTAAATGTGACTGGCCAATTTTCAACAAAGTGCAATTGTAACCGTAAAATGGTATTTTAAATGAAAAATTAAAATTACCCTAAGTAATTAAATAGTGCTATTATGCATGTAAATGACAAGTGTTATTATTGATAAAGTGTTAATAAAAATAAGTTAATATTAATAAAGCTTTTTATGAAATTTTGAAACTTACTTATTTACAAAAATTTGAGCAAATATAATTAACAATGATTCTGAATCAATTTTCCTTAGTTTTATTTAATTATCTTAAGTAAAAATGTTACAAATATATATAAAAAATTTTATTTTCTTCTTTGTCCAGGTTTGTATTTATAATTTTATATGTGAATGTAAGATTAAAATTTCTAACAAGAAAATCTTAGTATATTATCATAAACAAAGGTATTTTTATACACATATGTATGTATTCAATTTATTATTTATATTTATTCTTTTATGAGCACATACTTATTGTTCTATATTATATATATTTCAATGTAAATATACATATATTATCATTTCCTTCAAGTAATAGTATCTTTTTACTAAAAAATTGAAACGAAAATATAAGAAAAAATTAAAGTGGAAAAAGGGAAAAAAGTATAAAAATGAAGGAACATAAAAAATGAAGGGAAGGTAAAACAAAAAAAAAAAAGGACAAAAAGATTAATAGAAAAAAAAACAAACGAATTGATAAGAAATAAAAACTTACTCGCCGTAGGCACCTTCACCGAGAGTTTGCGCAAGCGTCCATCCCTCTACAAATTCACGATTGTTGCTACTACCATTATTATTATTATTATTGCTGTTGTTATTGTTGCTGCTGTTGCCGGTAATATTATTAGCAAGGTTATTGCTATTTACAACAATTGCATTGCCGTTGTTGTTCATGTTATTAATGTTGCTGTTGCCATTACAGTTGCTACTACTACTGCTGTTGTTATTTCTGCCATTTTGTATTGAAGACATTATACTGCTGTTGTTCATCATCATTTTGTTGTTGATTCTATCCTTTATTTATATATTATAATAAAAACAAAATTATTCCAATTTTCCTTTTTACAACTTCTTTCTGTTCAATTTTTTTTTGTTTTAATAATTTCTCATGTACGTATGTATATAATTTATTAAACATAAATATAAGTATGAAATATTTTATATTTTTATAAATTGTAATGTCTTTGTAGTTTGTATATTTGTAGTTGGCTTAAGTATTCCTTTTTTCTTTTCTTATTTTATATCGAATTCTCCGTTTTTTTATTTTTCTTCTCGTTTTTTAGGTCCAATTCCAGAAATACATACATGTGGCAAAGTCGCGATATAGAATTTCGAAATACAAAAATATTTTTATTTTACATTTGTATAAATGTGTATATGTATATGATTGGATATTCATTAAACTTTTTCTTGTTTTTTTTTTTTTTTTAAATTTCTGTGCCTGCCGTATTTAATTATAACAAACTGTGTAAGTTTTCTATTATTATTTTGTTGTTGTTGTGTATGATACAATTGCAAATATCTATAAATAGAAGAATACCTCTACGTATTTAAATATGTGTATAGTAATGAATTTTTATCTCAAAATGTAGTTTTAGACAAGTTTTATCCTTTTTTATAGATATTCACGTAATAAAAATCTTAAAATCAAGAAAAAAACAAATTTAATTTGGAAGAGCTTTGTGGAAAATCGCCAACGACAATTTTTCTCTTTAAGTGTTCTTTTTTTTTCTATTTTAATTTTAAATTGATTGTAGAATTTATTCTTCTTGTTGTTGTTGATTTTAGTGAAGTTATTATTTATTCACTTTTCAAGTAACTCTTCAATCTGCACAAGTGCTTCTTCTTTTGTAGGAATATGTATTTTGCTTTTCGTAACTTTTACAAAAGTGTGTTAGTGTTTAAATACTTATTGGTAATAAAATTATTAAGAGTTAGGTTTTGTAAATATAATGAAATTTCTAATTTTATGTAAATTCTAAATTGGTTAAAATGATGACAGCCGATTTTCTCAAATTCAATTTTTCTATCTCTTAGTTTACTTCTTTCCACTATTTTTTAGTGTGTTCGTGTTATTTATTCTTCATATATTATATATTAAATATAAGCAAATACATTAATGCATACACGTATAACAATTTTATTTATAATTCACAGCACAATGTTTTCAATATATCTTTTCTTTCAAAACAAATGGTTATATGTACATAAAAAGTAGCTTTATTCCTTTTATTTTAATTTAAAAAGGACTTAACACAGGCAATATAAATTTTTATATTTCTATATTTATGTATATAAAGAAATCCAAAATAGCAGAAAAATAAATAATCAAATTTAATAGTTCCTTAACACATCGTAATTTTAGAGCTCTTTTAAAGATGTATTCGTTGTTAGAAACATATGTAGTGTAGGAAGTACAAGGAAAATTGAGTTTATTTTTTTCGTTAACTATTATTAAACACTTTCACCGTGTTTTTTTCTTTTTTTAATTCTCTTCTTTTGTTAACCGTAAGAAGCAGCGTTATCCAAAAGTATAAACAGGAATTCTGTACGAGTGCAAAGTTACACCTTTAGCTTTGTTGTTCTCTCTCTTTTATTCTGTAAGAAAAAATAGAAGAAATTCATTAAAATACTATAAATTTTTAATATTATACAGTTTTAATGTTAGTTTAATTACACTCTAATCCAAAAATTCTATATAATTCATACATACTTATAGACGTATTTACCTATGTACGTAGATGTTATTTAGTATATATATATTAGTTTAGAATTTTTCGAGTCAAGGTATAATTAACATTATATCAGCATTAAAAAAGGATAATAGTACTCATTATTATAATACGAAAAAAAAAATAACAGTTTATTGTTGGTTGTTTTTTTTCATTATTAAGGTGTTAAATAAATATCCTTTACAAAATTAAAACTTAAACTAAAGTATATTTATACATTTAAATATGTGAAATAATAAAGAATTTATTAAAACTAGTGTAGAATTTATTAAAAAGTAATACAAAATTTAAAAAATCCCAAAAAATTAGCTTAATTTAACTTAAAGGAGAATTGATTTTTAAAGTTGGATTAATAAAATAAATCGATCATTAACAGATTAATAGTCAGTAGTGTAACCGGTAAACAAAATTATATAAATATTTTAAACTAATTATATACCTACTTGGAATAAAAGCGCTTTAGCGTAGCAATTTTTAGGTATCACTAACATCAAAAGTAAGGTATCTGACTAAATAGATTATTTGTTTAAAATTGATTTCAAATCAAATTTCATTTATGAAAACAATTATACTTTTCTGAATTTTTTTTTAACTTTAAGAACAGGCTTGGAACAGAATTTTGTAATGAATTAGCAGAAGAAATTATGTATTGCAAAGAGATGGAACAAAGTATTTTTATTTTTAATATATATTTATTTTTATAATTATAAATAAATTGGTTTACACATTTTTTACACTTTTTGCTTTGTAAAGACTTTTTTACGACTTTACGGAATTATACTGAAAACAAATGTCAATAAATGTCAATCTTTGATGTATGCGCTTTCAAAGCTTCGCGTTTATACATCATATTGAAAATGGCGACTACGAGTTTTCACTAATATGAAATTTCAATGTTAGACGTCTCTTTCGCGATAACGTTTGAATGTTTTTCAAACACGGTTCTAAATTTATTTTTTTTTGTTTTAGAAGTTTTTTTTGTAGCAACAATGACATTTTTATGAACGAATGCAAATAATGACATTTTCTAGTATGAATACAAAAAAGTAGTAAAAAATGCTTTGAAGTAGTATGGTAGTATAGAATGCAAAAATGTAGTAAAAAACTACAATTTTAATAAAATTAATAACACTCTTTCTTACCACCAATTTTGATATAAAATTTTGAAAATTATTAAAATAAATTTTTCTAGATTCGGAAAATAATTCCTTTTTGATTTTAAGGGAGATAAATTGAACCTTGAATTCAAAAAGAAATATTTCGTTCAATACTTGAAAATATTAAATGCACAATAATATTAAACTATTGCGTAACATCCATCTTACTTATTTTTTAGTGTTCAATATAATTATATGAGCACCGTTGTTTTAATTATCACAACGACAATTTATTTTGGAAAACTTTTGAAATTATATAATAAACATTTTGTGTATAACATTTATTTACGAAATTGTATTCTTATACATTTTTTTTGTTGAAAATCGCTAACAAAATTTAAAATGAACTAAATAACTATAATGAACAAATATATTTTTAAAAAATGAATAGAAATTACAGTAGATAAGTGTACCTAATTCAATAAAACTTCATTTAAAAGAAAACCTCTACATAAGTAAGTGATTTTGTAAAATCGGAAAAAACATTACATATTGAAAACATAAAAATGTTGATATTTTTAAATAATAAAAAATATTATATTAAATTTTTTTTTATAAAGTAATAAAAAAATATATACATATGTAATGACTTATAAAGTATGTAAGTAAATGTGTATGTGTGAAAATAATGCACCACTACATATTTATGCCTATATTTTTAAGGATAACAACTTTATATTGAGAGTATAGCAATTTTTTATCACATAGCTACAAAAATACATATACATACTCATATATGTATACATTTTTATACATAATTTTAGAAAATCTCTTTTTTTTTTTAATTTTTATATGACGCAATTAATTAATTAATAGAAAAAAATATTTTTGTTTTTTTTCTCCTTTTCAAATTTTAAATAGTAATTCTATGGTGAAATGTTAATGAAAATTATAAAGAACTGTTTTGTTTCCTTTTCTTTTTTTGTTTGTAAGCAAAACCGCTCCCAAAATAATACTATTTTTTTTTATTCACTCTTTTTATTAATTTTTCCACATATTTGCGTTTTTGTTTATAAAAAAAAACCAAATTTCATTACAATTACATTCAGTGTGGTTGGGTATTTATATATCAACTAGTGGATGTATATATTGTAGAAAAAAATAAAGCTACAATCATAAAAAACAATAAATTACAATATGTGTGCATATTTTGTGTGTATATGCATAAATACAAATTACATATGTATACATACATATTTTGTTATATATACACGAAAAAATTGTATAATTATTTATACATAAATAAAATAAAAGTTATATAAAAACAAAAAAAAAATAAATCAATACTTATCCAGTTCTTTTTTAATCCATTTTTTGTTTCAGATTTTTCATTTTCAATTTTATTTTTTTATATTTAATACACAATTTAAAAAACAAAACTTTTCCCTTGATTTTTCATTTATAAGCTGAATTTGAAGAAGAAAAACAAGGAAGATATTTGAAATGTCCCCGACTGATTTGTTCACAAATTTTCAAAAAAATTATTCAAAAAGCACTTTCAATTTAATTTTTGTATCTTAATTGTAGATCCATATGCATTTAATTACAAAAGTACATAAAAATCAAGAAACCTAAACTTTAGATTTATTTTTTTTTTAATAAAATCAATAAAATTAATAAATAAAAATATCAATTTCATGTTGTTATCACAAGATTCTTTAATTTTTTTTTCAATTTTATTGGAATGGTTTGAAACTAATTTCCAAGTATTATATTTTAATTTTTGTTAATAAAAACAAGAAAAATTTATTTTAAAAATGTCAATACAACAATATTATATTTTAGAACTTTATTTTACTAAAATTTAAAAAAAGAAATAAAAAAAAAGTTTTTTTAAGTGCCATATTATACGTACACATTTTTTTGCACGCCATTATCCTACTAAAAATAATTCAAAAAATATACACAAAAATTTTGATGTAATAAAATCGAAAATCGGAAAAATTGTTGAAAAATTAAAAAAGTTCGAGGTTTCAAGAAAAAAAAATTGTATACCAATTCGAATATTTTTCTAAATAACGACTGCTGCTGCTGGTGCTCTAACTTCATGAGAGAAGAGAGACAAAACAAGAAGAAAAAGTTATATAAAGAAAAAAAAAAAAACACAAAAAACATGAAAAAAAGGAAAGCAAGGCAAGGCTACCATTACATTATGTATACATTTTATAAATGTACATGTATATACATACATATGAAAAACAACATACGTGAGTACATATGCACACACAATTTTATATATAATTTTTACACATATTATTTTTTTATATTATTTTGATGTTTTTTTTATTTTAAGTTTGTATACATAGTTGAATTGAAGGAATTTTTTTTTATTTCTTTTTCTTTTGCTTATTTTCATATAGAAATCGGGATATACACAACTTCATTTTTATAATAAATGTTGTAGATTTTTGTAGTTTTTTGTATAATTAAAATCGAAACAAATGGATGAAATATGGAGTATGATCCAGAAAATATCAAGTGAATCTTTTGTATTTTATAAGATTTCGATTATATTGTAGATATAAAAACATTGATATAGATTATATTGTTTATTCAATGCTTACACACCTAAAAGACGCAGTACTAGTGGTGTTTTTTACAGATCTTTTTTTATTTTTGAATTTCGAATTAGAATAATTAAAAGTGGTAGGGGAGTGAAGAACCTTCAACTGATAGGGGTTTGAAGGAAGAAATTTAAGTTGAACTAAAGTATATTTGAAATAGATATGTAAATAAAATTTCTAATAGTATTTTTGATATAATGAAAATTAAATTTTGGTAGCAACCGATACCTGCAGCTGTTTTAATCCCGCAAATTATTGTGTGATTACTATTATTATAATTATTCTAAACAACTTAAAAAAAAAAAACAACTGAAATTAACAATTAGTTTTAATTTTTGATGGTTAATAAGTTGTCACTACTAATATTGTAATACGTGTTTTAATGAATACGTTATTCTTTCTTCTTTTAAAGAATAAATAGGACGCGATCGAAAATGTTAATTGTATTCTTATATCCAAAATCAGAAACAAAGTCTTTTTAAAAATTTCAATGTTTTTGCAGCAATATTTTTTATTTTGTAAACTAAATTTTTAATTTCTAGTGACAAAAATTTAATATTTATCCTTAATAGGTAATGGCTTCCAAATTCCAAGTTATCAAACTACTTTTGGCCCTCACAATGTACGATAAACGACATTGAGTTTTTTTTATCATTATTTTCCCTACGTTGCTTTTGTCGTTCATGTTGGGGGCTCACGATTGATACTACTTTGGTGCTACAGATGTATAAGAATAAAAATGAGAAAAACAAAAAAGAAGCCAAATGAAGATACATTGATATGTATAAACATATCTATCATGATAATATGTATATCAATGTATCTACCTACATACAAAATTTTAAATCAAGACTTGGATAAAATGGAGATGACTGTGAAAATGAAATGTTTGTGTGTACTTGCATACAAGCATGCCCATTATAAATGATTTCTTGAATACAAATTTAAAATATTTTTATAGAAGCATTTTATAGTTCTCTTTAGATATGTGTGTAATTATATTTCAGGCTAATATAAAATAAGAAAATATAATGTAAAAAGAAATGATCGATCATTAATACTTTTTTAGTGTTGGTATACCGGCTGAGAAGAATAATGACGTTCGAATTATGGAGAGACAAAAAAATATCAGTAGGTACCTACATTATCCTTCAATATAAAATTTTTACAAAGGTGAACAAAAAAAAATTGTAAATTAGTAAAATTTTATTATTATGTAAAGTGAAATTGGCTAGATAGGGTAGGTATAAGTACATACCCGTCTTACTACAAAACATTTATTAAATTTTCTTAGAATGCTTTAAATTTGATATAAAATTTAAAATACAATAAGGAAATAACTATTTTGTGGCACAAAGACTTTATTCTAGCTGAGAGTTGTAATTCAATAGCAAAATTGGTTTCTTTGTGTTAAATTTTGAAAATTTTGAATGATTACTTGTGTAAATAGCCAGGCAGGAATTAAATGCGTTGCAGTAAACATATCATAAGGAAGGCCCTTGCGAAAAGACAATAGTAAATATTAAACGCATCTATGTATAGATATAAGCATGTTACGTTCGTGTCTTATTAAAAATTTCCTACATTTCATAGCATGTGTCTTCATAGCGAGTTTTATTGTACATTATGTAGTTTAAATTTTTTAATTTTATCACTAACTCAAATTTTCTATACGTATACGTATTATATACATATTTCTACCTATTTTCTTAAACAAAGTTCCAGGTTTTTCGCTTTATAATAGTTCTCTCGTAGATACTGTTGTTTTTTTTTGTATAGTTAAATATAGTTTTCTAAATTTTGGATAAGTATAGGTACTGTTTTGTTTATTCTTTAATTTCATTTTAATTCCATCTTTTGTCGTCCATTATCATCCGACCAGAAATTATATTAATTTATGTACCTATATTACACTCTATATGCATGTATGTATATACATGTATTTCATGGCTCTGCGTTGGCATGGTCGACAGTGGTGCTGGTGATGATGGCATTGAAGAAAGAAGAAAAAATAAAATTAAAATAAGTTAAAAGCAACAGCCGCAAATTATATACATATGTATGTATGTAGAAGAACAGAAGAACAGAACACCAACAAAACAAAAAAAATCTTATATTAAATGGGGCGGCGCAGTGCTTCGCGCATTTTAAAAATCAACGCAGAATTTTTTTTTCTTTTTGTGATTTGTAGAAGCCATTGACACCAATGTATAAAATTTTGTACAAGTAAAATTAAGAAAAAATTGCAACTTTCTATAATTTTACCAATAATTTATAAAAATCGTTTAAATTACTAATATGTTAAGTTAATGATGAAAAATGCAACATATTTCTAAAATTTTTAATTATCCCATTCATTTTGTACGAAAAGGTAATATTATTGTACCTACCAGGTTAATAATTCCGCTTTATACTTGAGAATTCATTTACACTTTAATTTTCAATGCCAAAGGTTTATTCACTTTTTTTTATTCTTCCATCGTATATTCCGCAATCTGTTCAAGTTTCGAAACGAATTAAACAGCGAAGCGAATATAAGCTTTTATGCCGGTCCGGTATTTTTTTTTTTCTTTTAATGCTATAAAACATTTTTCAATTCCAACTTTGTATTTTCAAAAATTTTCACTATATAAAAACTTTATGGTTCTTGTTAATTAACAAAATTTTTATGTATCTACTAACCAAAAAAAAAAAAAAGTTAAAAGTTAATTCCACCCGAATTTTGCTTTCTTTCCACATATAAAAAACTCAAATGATGTCTTCTGACATTTTCCTACTTGGACAAGATTTCATTTGACTATTTGATTTTTTTTCAATATATGTACTCAAATTTTGAGTAATTTTCCAATTGTTGTGTATTGAAAGAGAAAAAGGGACCGTTATATATGAGCTCAATGTATTCTTTCTTACGTATACCCGCTACTTTAATCGCGCCAAAAGTCTTAAACCACTTATTATTAAATATAGTAAATTAATCAATTATATTATAAAATTTATATTTACCTAATTTACAAATTTGTAGAATGGATCAAAATATTAAGTTTTTTTTCAATAAAGTTGTATTCAATTTATTTTTTTACCTTTATTCTATTAATTGTTTCAACATGATAATCTTGACTTCTTGCACTTTTAAAAATATTCAATTTTTGACTTTGAGTGGTTTTAATTTTGACATTCGTTTACATTTCACAATTTCACATGGCATGCCGACCGCATTGCCGTGTTTTCATATATTTCTGAGAATTCTCAAAGAGTTAAGATGGATTCCTGAATTCATTGGTTTCGTAATAGACTGCGGGCAATTTTTTCATAAAGTTGAACCAAATTAGATTTTGGTGTGTTTATAATGTCAATTTTGCACTCCTAATATTATAATATTAGAATTATATTCCGCGTTTACATGTCAATCACAAATTGGCATTCAAAATTGAGATTGATGAAGATTGACCATGCAAATATCGTCAATCAATTATTTTCATCAAACTTTTGATTGACGAAAAAATAGAAATTGTTCCTATTTTTTCAATAGAATCTCATTGGTTCTAACAGAAATAAAATAAAAAATGGCGTAAATATAAGTTTTTGCAAAAAAGTGCTGTGAGCAGCTGTTTCAATGTTTTGTTTCTATTTGTCATTTGATAGTGGAGTAATAGTTTCTTAAGTTTTTAATTTTAAAGTGCATATAGAAAGATTGATAATGATTCATTGCAATACACATGTAAATTCTCATAAATTTCCATCATTCTGAATCATAATTGTCAATCTACCTCTTCTCATGACATGTAAAAGCTGGCATGTACTATTATTGTCAAAGAATGAAACATTGAAAAATTATGAGAAGTGGCAACTCTACCTAAAATAGGTCACTTTAGAAGCAAAGAACACCTGCATAATAAATTGCATAATGTTTGGCTGAATTCACATAATAAAATTTAAAAAGTAACTCAGTAATTTATTAAAATAAACCTCGAGGCTTATGTAACATATGTAATTTGATTTAAAAAATAGATTAGTTACAATTAATAAAACTTTTTGGACAAGTTAATATTGAATAATAATATTTGATGCAAAAAAACACGTACACGAAACAAAGCTTATTGTTTTTTTACTATAAAATGCATGTTTAATGAAATGGAAAGTTAAGAATTTAATCTAAAATTTTGAAATGATAATGAGTAATATAAAAAATAATATATTCAGCACCTTTAGAAGAGGCGATGAATCTTCATGATAGAAATGTGAGCGTCTATAAAATAAGTTCATCCTTTCGGTAAATTCAGCTTAAAAAAAATATAAAAGTATAAACCGATTGAACCAGCCTATTTTATTCGGACGATGGCAGCACTTTTATTCAAATATCAAATTTTTTGATTGAAGAGGGAGCATGGGAATTGGGAATTTCAAAAAGTAAATTAAATTGCTTTCAGTTGAGTATATTTCAAAAATCATATATAAGAAAATTGAAACGCTAAAATAGTGTTAATATTAAGATGCCTTCCTCAAATGATGTGGATGGTGAAGTTTTATCTGAACCTTTATCAATTGGGTCGGTATTGTAAAAATTGAAGCATTAGAAATTGTGAAATATATTCCAATTTAGGGACTTGTTATCAACTGGGAAAGAGTTCGAGATAAACTCAAGTGCTAGTAATTATGATGGATTCCGCTCTGACATGTATGACGACTTCGGGTTTGGCAGTTCGGACGAAGAAGGGCCCGAGGTCGATCCTAAATTATTAATATCGCCTTGGCAAGAACCATTCGAGAAGCTCAGGTCGACCATGGTAAAAATTAATGACTTAATTTTTAAAAGGGTTGTCTTGGAAGGTAATAAAGAGTCCAAAATAGTGCCGGATAGAGCAAGAGTGTCCATTCAATATACATCATATGCCGAAGACTCTAGCAAAACTTTTGATTCCACATACTTACGAGGTATTTAAATCGATTCAGGAAGTTTGAAAGACAAAGTTGCTTGATATTGTTTATTTTAGGTAAGCCACATACATTTCATACTGGGAATCATGAGGTTCTACCTGGAATAGAAGAAGCAGTTAAAACAATGAAACTTGAAGAAGAATCCCAATTTATAATATCTTACAAATTGTTATATGGTGAACTCGGCTGTCCTCCCAGAATACCTCCAAAAAAAGATTACTTGTTTGTTATAAAAGTGTTAAGTTTTGAAGAAGTTGGTGATTTAGATGCAATGAGGGAAGTTGCTGCTCAAGACAAAAAGAAATTTAAAATCGTTTTTCCAAAGGTGAGAGAAATCCATAAAAAAGGAATTGATTTCTTCAAATTAAATAATTATCAAGGTGCCTTGAAGGCCTTTCACAAGGCTGTTAATTGTTTGATAGTTTGTCGCTTGAATGATGAAAGCGAGCAAAAGGAATACGATGAATTTATGGTTAAACTTTATACAAATTTGGCAACAATTTATTCCATTTTGGATAAACCTGCTAAAGTGTGTTCTATGTGTAATGAAATGATTGCTATTTCACCAAGATTATACAGATCTAATGCGAAAGCTTTATATCGTGAAGGTAAGGCATTTTCTGATTTAGGGGAATATGACCGAGCTCACAATAAGTTAATGGAAGCAAAACGACTTTGTCCAACAAATGAAGATATAATATTAGAATTAGAAAAACTCAATACCCGTAAAACAGAGTACATGAAACAAAATCAGGAAATTTGTGCAAGAGCATTCGGTTTGTTAAACATCAACAAAAAAAAGGAAACTGTGAGCGAAGAAGATATCTTTACTCAGGATATGAGGGAAACTTTAAATGCTTTTAAAGAAGATGATAGTTTAAAGGAAATTCATTTGCCAGATGGTTTGTCTGCACACGAAGTTGAATGCGTTGAAAAATTAGTTATAGAAATGGGAATGAAACTATCAACCGCGACTTTAACTAAAAAGAAGGTTATTATTAAAATTTAGAACTTCACACGCATATTCTTATTTTCATTATTGTTGAATTTATTCATTATTTCCATTACAGTTAAAAAATTAAAGAATGATTATTTTTTTATACTTGAAAATCGTGTTTTAATATCGATGTGTGAGAACAAAGAGAACCCCTTTTGAGAATAGGATTAAATTTTAATTTCGTAAGTTCGACTATGCATTTTAAATGTTTTTCTAATTGTGAGATAATGAGTAAAATAATAATCGCCTTATTATATCATGCGTTCGGTTTTATAAATTTACTCTAATTGTACATCGTTCTTTCAAAATAAAGTACAATACTTGTCAATCGCTTTTTTTTTGTCGAAGGTGTCGTATGGGATTGTAAAATATTGTAGACCACGCAACATTTTATTTGTTATCTGTTAATATATAAGGCCAGTGTCGTTATAACAATTTTTCGGTTTTCTTGGACTTCAAGTTGTATTTGTCGAAAGTACCGAAATCGAGATGTACTAACCAATTAACGCTTAAAAAAAAATATATAATATTTAATTATTATAATAATATAAAATTTAATACTAGCTTTAACTTTAAATATAAAGGTAGTATTAAACTTTATATTTATTTTTTAACTTTATAGGCAGTATATAAAGTTTAATACTAGCTATAAGCTAGTGTTAAACATTTTAAGAATCGTGTTCCCTCGAATGATATATGTATAGAATGTCCTGCATCTGACGTGTTTGGGTTATGTCGATTATGTCATAACATACCTACTGCAGCAGTAAAACTATGAGTTTGAATTTTTGTAGATCTTGTGAAAGTTTCATGTCCGTTAAGGCACACTTTGCAACTTGTTTTTTCAAATTTAATATTGACTGACATCAAGTTTAGCTTTTCGATACAACGTTGGCTTATTTTGATTAGAGCATTCAGACTTGTTCGTTGTCGAATATTGAATACCAATTTTTAATGTAAAAAATGAAAATTGTAACAGTTTGCTCAATGTTGCTCTTTAAGCCATTACAATGATTTCAATAAATGAAACAATTTTGAATAGATAGTAAGTAAACTATTAAAAACAAGTGACAAGCAATAAGGATACACCAAAAATGCAAATTAAAACAAAACAATTTAACAAAATCATAAAAAAAATTAATTTTATGCATAAAAAAAATCATAAAATATATAATTTAATTTTTGTTTTTAGCGTGAAAGTATTTATAAATTTGAAGAATTGGAAATTTCATGACAGAGGACGCCTTTTACGGGTCTTCGTTTTTCCCTCGAATATATTCAGTAAATATACAAAGGCCTCCTTTGGAAGTCTGCAATAGTTTATAAATCTGTGAATAAAATAAAATGTTTGTTACTAACTTACTTGAAAAAATTATTGTATTGGCTTACACTCCATTTCGCAAATCCAATGGATTAGAGCTGTCGTTAATCTTAAATCTTTTGATCCTTAATTGTTGTTTTATTTAATTTCATCACTACCGGAATCAGATGAATCCGTAAACCATAATGCAAATGACATTTTTAATTATTTAAAAATATAAATATATATACGGAAAATTTTTTTAATTTGAACTTTACTCGCCAAAATTTCTTTTTTAAATGCATCAGTTTCAATTGAAACGTTTCATTTTCGATTATTTCTCGGACTCAAGTCACTCGACAATCAGAAAACCACATTTCAAATGATTTGACAGCGACAACGACAAATGTCACATAAGTGACGCGACAACTAGAATAAGGTTCAATTTTTGCAGCAAGTTCTTAAATAATCTATAATAGAAATCTTATTTTCATCTTATTATCCAGATTTTATCTCATGAACTCTATTTAAATTGGACATGATCAGAGTATTAATTCGGGTAGCTATCATACAACTTCAAAATTTATTTGACTATAATTAATTTATTCAACTATGAAAGTTGTGGTATTGAAATTTCGTACAAATAAATATATTAGTAAGGTCAATGTGTTTGATAAAAGTCGCTGAAATTGCTTGGCTCCTCCTGGTAGCTGCCATAAAACTTCAAAAGTTATTGAGCTATATCTCAGAAACTATAAAAGCTATGATATTAAAATTTCACACAAACGAATATATTAGCAGGGTCAAAGGTCGTTGAAATTGCTTGTCTCCTTTTGGTAGCAGCCATACAACTCCAAAAGTTATTTGGCAATATCTTAGAAAATATTAAAAACACAGTACTGAAATTTTGTATAAATTAATATGGTAATAAGGCAACTTAAAGCCATAGTCTGCCCCATAGTTAGTTTTGGCACATTAGTTATTCGCACATGGAATAACAAACTCGTACGGGTATCACAAAGTTGACATGGTCAACTCTATTTTTGCTCGTTTTTAATAAAGAAACGAATGATCGATTATAATCACTACAAAATAGAGCCATGCGTATTATCCTCAAAATTAATAGATTAACTTCAAAGAATTTAATGTTTAGGACTTTGAAAACACAAAAAATGTTACTAGTTATTTAACAAACATATTAGTTTACATTAAAAATGTACAAAATTATTATTTGAGAAATATTTTTGATTTTAGATATTGACTTGTTTAACAGAAAAACACAAAATATGTTGATATACTCGTACAGCAGCCTTAAATTGTTTGATAATCTGCCTCTCACTTTAAAAATTGAAAATGTAATAAAAAAGTTTAGGAGGGCCTTAATTAATTATTATAACAATTGAATAGAGTTGGCTCAAACCAATGGTTTGTAATTTAGCACTTTTCCTTCGACAAATGAAAATACTGATTTTAAGAACAATCTAGCTATTTATTATATACTTAAAATTACTTTCATTCATATACATGCAAATATATTTCAGAAATAGCAAAAACGTCTAAGATAAGCAATAAACCAAGAAAAAATTGAAAGATGCGTTAAAATAATGTCCGCATTTAAGTTAAGGAAAATAATTATAATTCGATAGAGTTAAGGAAAATAATTAAATTTTATAACATTTATCGTTAGCTTTCTAGATTTATAGAAATTTGGAAAACCTTATAGTTTGAAAATATAAAAGCTGTTAAATTTTCAGATTCCCAAACCTTTCGGTATACAAGGAAAACGATTTAAAAAATTTAGAAAAAAGCGGTTTTAGGTAACGGTAAATATGCCGCGGTAGAATAAACAATTCACTATTCTGTGTTTACAAAATTTGAAAAATGCTCTAATACGAGTAATAAAAAGTTTCGCTCTAATAAATGTAAAAATGGTATTTTTACAGTTTTTAGGGGCTATAACTTTATAAGTGGGGGGAGACTAGGTAAAAATTTTCAGTCTACGTATGAAATTTCAGTCTTTCGTCTTTAAGGGTGTAAATGTGTTGTTAACATTTACGTTGTTTTGAACGGACGGGCAGAGTGAAACTAATAAGCAGTTTTTTTCAAAATTTTTCTGGAAATGTGCTAAAAAATGATAACCGACTTAGTACGAGTACCAAGTTAAAATTATAGTTAAACTAATGTCTTTATATCTAACAAGTCCCAATACTCAATTTTTTTTACGAAATGTTACGAATTTTTGGCCTCGTTGTTGGTTTTTTCTTTAAATGCCACTGATCGTGTCATATTTTTTATTATTTTTTTCTTTTTTTTTACGTAAAAAAGAGATTAATATTTTAAAAAATCTCAGGATATTATACACAGTGTTCCCACTCGGAAAAAACAAAATGTATCCAATTTCGAGAAAAAAATGTATCCAAAATGTATCCAACCTCGTAATATAGCATTATTATAATAAGTCGTCTTATTTTGTACAAATTAACCCATAATTAATATTAATTTGCTTTATTTCACAATATGAGTTTTGTTATTTATAGTAAATTCTTTAAGAAATCACATACAACTTCTATTATATTTTAAATGTGAAAGTTAAGGTCAGAAATAACATATGCATATATGCCTTCTGTAGTTGTTGAACTATGCGGTAAAGACGATTGACCATGACAACGGACAAATTTTAAAAAATATATACATCCAATGCATTTTCTATTACATCTAGCTAACACTAAAATATTTTTGGTACGTTCTTGTATAAATTTTCTAAATTTGAATACAGGAAGAGGCAGTTAATAAAGTATCTTTTTTACTTTCTTGTAAAAAATTCGGAAAGCTGCTTAGAATGGCCAGCAAATAACATTTTTTGTAGATAAAGCAAATTCGCGATTTAATATTAGCAGCATTTTAACTGTTTTGTAATATTTATTTAGTGTTTGAAAAAAAATGTATCCATATTTCAGCAAAATTTTAAAATGTAGCCAATTTCGGCATTTTAGCAGATTTGAGTATCTTTGTATCCAAGCTCAAATTTAAAGCAAAAATGTATCCAAATGGATACAATTGTATCCAAGTGGGAACGCTGATTATACACATTTTTTAAAAAGCTTCCCATTTAAATTCTATTGCACGAAAAAGAAAGAAAGGTAGGAGGAAAGAAAAAATGAAAAAAAATTTCAAATTCATATTTCAGTATGGTTTCAAATGTTAATGAGGAAGGATGTATGATTTTTTATGCACATTTTGTATTTCCCAATAAGGTAAGTTGAGTAGTGTCGGCTAACAAAAATGTTATTAAAAGTAATATAGGTTGACACATTTCAACAATTTGAATTATCTCATTTCGATTATTCATACGTTACTTATAAAATTGTTTCAAATAATTTCAGTTAGTTTTTAAATTATTAAAAATAAATATGTATGTACCAACTTCCAATAAATTTTTTTTTTAAATAATTATTTTAAAACTATTTCAAACATGTTATATTGAGTGCTTCAAAAATTTTGCTGTGCTCTTTTTTCATATTTTATTAGCAGGTAAACAAGAGCAATCTATTTATAAAATGTCCCTGCATGTGTATGTATGACCTATCTTAATTCTAAACGGAAAGAATTTTAAAATACCTGAACAAAAATTTTAAAATACCTGTTATTTTACAGTCGGAATTTTCGAGTCATGTGGTAAAATACCATTTATTTCAAAAATAGAAAAATATTCAAATCCGGCATAAAAATATATGATTGTTTTTTCCAAACATTTTAAATTTTTTTTTTTCTTAGGTAATTGATATAAATGATAGTAAGTTTTTAATA